ATAGATACTGCTCTGCCATAAAAAGGAACAAAATTTTACCCTTAACATGGATGCATCTGGAGAACATTACGCTAAGTGAAATAAGCCAGTCAAAACAAGTACCATATGATTTCATTCTTATGTGGGATTTAATGAACAAACTGAACTACCAAGCAAAATAGAGATAAACTCATAGACAGCAGTCAGGAAGATGGGGGAGTGGGGGATTGAGGAAAAAAAAAAAGAGAGAGAACTCATGGACATGGACAACAGTGTGATGATTGTAGGCGCAGGGGGCAGAGGGGGAAAAGGGCATAGAGGAAAGGATAAATAGTGATAAAAAAATTAAATGAAATAAATTAAAAAATAAAAAGAATCACTCCTGCCCTGGCCCGTGTGGCTCAGTCGCCTCCCACAACCTCATCAATATTACAATTAAAATGCAGAACAATCATCATTCAGAACCTCCTGAAAGTTGGCTGAATGGAAGTCCTGCAACTAGAGAAGTAAAGAAGAAAGCACAGTGAGACTAGTAGGAGGGGCGGAGGCAAGGAACAGACTGGTCCAACACCCATGTATGCATTTTCTTAATCGGGAGGGAGATCATCTTTGTGGAGGCCACCCGTTAGAAGCAAGGGGTACCAGCCCCACACCAGACTCCCCAAGCCCAGGGTTCCAGAGCTGGGAAGAGAAGTCCATATAACTTCCAGTGGGGATTGTGGCTGAGGGACACGGAGGCTACTGGAGACCCAAGTGTTCCATTTAAAGAACTTGGACACAAACTTGCTTGGAATCCTACCACCAGGAGGCTTACACCTATGGGGAGAAACTGGATTGTCTGGCATCGGGGCAGGAATTCAGGGCAGCTTTCTCCCAGACAGAGGATGCTCGCAGGGGTCATTATTCCTGTGCTGAGACCTCCCCAGTCGCAGGGCTGACTAGCAGCCATATCTGAGTCTCCATCAGTCTGGAGTATACTGTTTGTTCCACCCTGGGGATTCCCTAGCACCCCACTCTGTCCAATTTGCAGCCCCACTCAACCTGCTTGCAGCAGCTTTTTCATATGAATGGCCTGTACTGGCTCAGGCTTCAGACTTTGCTAAAATCTCTCAAACAAGCTGAAGCTGGTGACAACGTGCCCCAAACCTATCAATAAAAGACCCAAGACATGGCACTAGCACCAGCCTGCCTTGATTCTGAACTGGGCCTCGCCTGAGCACCTCCAAGTCCAATACAAATAGCAAGTAACAACTGTCTGCACCTCTGTAGGTGGCCCCAGGCAGTGGCTAACTTTGCACCTTCCTGGAGGCCCTACAGCCAGTGCACCCAGTGGACAGCTTCAGACCTTACTAGGTTACAACTCTACACATCCACGAGCAACACACTCAAGAGGCAGACTCAGTGAGCACCAAAGCCCCACTGAAGCAAGTCCTGCTCCATATGGATGTCTCCTGTACAGCACCTCTCCCACTGTAGTCCCAGCTGGTCCTCACAGCCAATTTTCCTGGAGGTCAACTACAGCCAGTGACACCAACAGCCATCAAAGCTCAACTACAAGACTGGGCACACAGCCCACACAGGGTCGCACCTAGAGTGCCCAGCTCAGATGACTGGAGAGGCTGAATCACTGGGCCCTACACAAGGCCACTCTACCAATTCCAGGAGACAAAGAAACAAACACAGGGAAGCAACCAAAATGCAGAGACAAAGGAAAATGTCACAAATGAAAGAAATGAAAGCAAGCAAACTTCTGGATACAGAGTTCAAAACCATGGTTATAAGCTTACTCAAGGATCTCCATGAGACTTTCAAGGATCTTAGTGAGAATGTCAAAGACATGAAAAAGAACCAGTCAGAAATTAGGCATACACTAAGTGAAATAAAGAATAATTTACAGGGTTTCAACAGTAGAGTAGAGGATTCTAAGAATCAAATCAATGATTTGGAATATGAGGAAGCAAAAAACACCCAATTAGAAGAGCAAAAAGAAAAAAGAATAAAAAAATATGAAAATAGTGTAAGGAGCCTCTGGGACAATTTCAAGCCTACCAACATTCGCATGATGGGGGTTGCCAGAAGGAGATGAGAGAAAGCAAAATACTGAAAACCTATTTGAAGAAATAATGACAGAAAACTTCTCCTACCTGGTGAAAGAAATAGACTTACAAGTCCAGGAAGCGCAGAGAACCCCAAACAAGAGGCCCACACCAAGACACATCATAATTAAAATGCCAAGGGTTAAAGACAGAGAGAATCTTAAAAGCAGCAAGAGAAAAGCAATTAGTTACCTACAAGGGAGCTCCCGTGGGAATGTCAGCTGATTTCTCAATAAACACTTTGCAATTCAGAATTGGGTGGCAAGAAATATTCAAAGTGATAAATATATTTAAAAGGAAGGAAGGAAGGAAGGAAGGAAGGAAAGAAGGAAGGAAGGAAGGAAGGAAAGGAAAGGAAGGAAGGAAGGGAAGGAAGGAAGGAAGGAAGGAAGGAAGGAAGGAAGGAAGAAAGAAAGAAAGAAACAAAGAAAGAAAGAAAGAAAGAAAGAAAGAAAGAAAGAAAGAAAGAAAGAAAGAAAGAAAGAAAAGAAGTGATGAATAGTAAGGACCTACAACCAAGATTACTCTACCCAGCAAAGCTCTCATTTAGAATTGAGGGTCAGATAAAGAGCTTCTCAAACGAGAAAAAGGTAAAGGAGTTCATCACAACCAATCCAATATTACATGAAAAGTTAAAGGGTATCCTATATAATAAAAGCCTAGGCGGTGTCATGCCCTTGCGCGACGCCCTCACGTGACGTTGTCACAAGATGGCCGCCACAACATGGCCGGCAGGGGAGGGCAGTTGGGAGTGATCGGGCCAGCAGGGGAGGGCATTTAGGGGCGATCGGGCTGGCAGGGCAGTGGTTAGGGGGCGATCAGGCTGGCAGGCAGAAGTGGTTAGAGGCAATCTGGCAGGCAGGCAGGCAAGCGGTTAGGAGCCAGCGGTCCCGATTGTGAGAGGGATGTCCAACTGCCAGTTTAGGCCCGATCCCTGGATCAGGCCTAAACCGGCAGTCAGACATCCCCCAAGGGGTCCCAGAAGATTGGGGGTGCAGGCCGGGCTGAGGGACACCCCCCCTCCCCCGTGCACGAATTTCATGCACTGGGCCTCTAGTTCTTTAAGAGGAGGAGGAGGAAGAAGAAATAAAAAATATGAATAAAATGGCAACATATACATATCTATCAACAAGTGAATCAAAATAAACGAGCAAGAAATCTAATGAAAATAAACTGGTGAATAAAATAGAATCAGTGGCATGAAAGCATAGAACAGACTGACACATCTCAGAGGAAAGGTGAGTGGGGAGCAGGCAGAGAGTAAACAAAGATTATACCTATGGATCCAGACAGTAGGGTGTTGAAGACCTGGGATAGGTTGGAAACCAGGTGGAGGAGGGCAATGGGTGGAAAAGGGGGACATCTGTAATACTCTCAACAATAAATATTTAAAATTTAAATAAATAAATAAAACAATGATTATTATTATTGTAAATCACTTCTCCTCAAAGCTTAGTATATGATATTGAGTAAATCTTGATTAACTGATGTGCTCATGAGTACATCTTTTCTTTACTAATCTGGTGGGACACAACCTTACATATCCTTCCACTGAACTCAACTATTGGGGTACAATCCTCCATAAGAAAGTAAGTCTTGCCCTAACTGGTTTGGCTCAGTGGATAGAGCATCAGCCTGCGGACTCAAGGATCCCAGGTTCGATTCCGGTCAAGGGCATGTACCTTGGTTGCGGGCACATTCCCAGTAGGGAGTGTGCAGGAGGCAGCTGATCAGTGTTTCTCTCTCATCGATGTTTCTAACTCTCTATCCCTCTCCCTTCCTCTCTGTAAAAAATCAATAAAATATATTTTTTTTAAAAAAAAGAAAAGAAAAGAAAAGAAGTCTTTGGGGGGAGGGGCGACTGAGAATAGTACCTGACTAATCAAGAGTTAAAGCATTTTCAAAATCCTTTAGTAGCAAAAAAAAAATCCTTAGTAGCCTATCATCAAATGAAGACTATGTCATGCCTGGGCTGATGTGGCCCAATGGTTAGAGCGTTGGCCCAAGCACTGAAGGGTCTCAGGTTTGATTCCCTGTCAAGGGCACGTACCTGGGTTGCAGGTCTGATTCCTGGCCCCAGTTAGAGCCTGTGCCGGAGGCAACCAATCTCTCTCTCTCTCTCTCTCTTTTCCTTCCTTCCACTCTCTCTAAAAATCAATGTAAAAAATATCCTCAGATGAGGATTAACAAGACAAAACAAAACATTTTTCATAATGGTATGAATATTTTCAATTTGCAGGTATCAATGTGCAATGTATATGTATCCAACTGTGTATATGAAGTAGAAACAGTTCACTACCTATACAAACATTTGCTTAATTTTCTGGGAGCTAAAAAAGAAAAAAAAAAAGAAGGTATTATAAGGGTATGGCAACTCATCCAAGGTCACACAAGTCAGGGCAGAGATCAACATTCTGGTTTACCACAAACCTCCAGGGGAAATCTTACTGACAATTTGGCAAAAAGACTTTCTGTCTGTTTTACTTTATATAATATAAAAGGGGATGTTATCAGTTTAGCTAAAACTTCTAAATAAACACAGTGAGATCTATTTTGGATAAACCAGCCTGTGAACAACTGTCCAAATCCGTCCAATTTTCACCCTAGGGTAAAGCCTCAATTCAAAAAGTCTAGCAGCTTTCCTTCATAGTTGGTTACGAAGGAAAAAAACTTGGGGTCTCCTTGAAATGGTGAAAGGATACAAATCATAGGTAGAAACGACACACTGTGAGTTGCATTGCCTCCAAGGATAAGGAAGGTTTTCTGAAAAAATATAATGATAATAATAATAATAATAATAATAATGGTGTCAGGACATCAATGAAGAGAGGATTTAAAAAATTCTAACACCAGAAACTACCAGGATTGGCAGAGCTAATCTATAATCATTCTAAACAAATCACAAGAAAAATACCTCTTCCTCACCCAAAAGATGTCCACATTCCCCAGCCCTGTTCCAAAAATGGAGCCGGATTTGTGTGTGAAGGTGCACAGCAGGAGCCGACCTCCTTCGCCTCCCGCAGCACTCAGAAAGCCCGCTCCACGAGCGTTCGCGGTGGACAGGTAGGTGCAGTTACAATGAGATGGGCCCTTTCCGCTCCGAGGACGCCCGGGAGAAGGAGCCGGGACGCGCGCACTTGCACAGTCACGGCCACACTATCACTGACACTCCGGCGGCGTCGGAACTACTGAGGAGCCGGTGGTTCGGCACCGGCTCCGGACACCTTCCTACACAGTGAAAACCGCCTGAGAAGCTGGGTGAGGACTAGCTCCGCCTGCCCGGAACCCCAGGCCCCTCACCTGACACAGTGCCTGACCCAGAAGAAAAGAAAGAAGAGGCGGCGGGGGCAGTTGTTTCCAACAGGGTCCTCCAGGGGTGATGGTGGCTTCGACCCGCTGCCCTAGCCTACCGCTACCGCCATGTTGGGAGGTTGGGTCACCGCGGCG